CATTTTCTTTGCAGTCTTGATCTGCTTCCGATGTTGGCCATAATTGGCTGAAACATATAAAAGCTATTATTTTATTATTAAAAATCGTTGCTACATTTAATAGAATTTAATTCTGCGGCTGCTCAAGAATTTCCCAGCATTTTATGGAACCAGAAGGTTCATTATCGTATTCACAAGAGATCTCCATTGGTCCCTATCCTGAGCCAGATCAATCCAATCTATACCATCCAATCCTATCCAAGATCCAACATTGAAATCCTACATATTAATATTAATCTGGCCATCAATGTACACATTATCTACATGGTATAAGAACAATTTCTCTATGGGTGTGAAACTTGGTTTCTAACAACAACGAAGGAAGAAGGGAAAGATGCTGAAGAGAATATTTGGACCAAAGAGAGATGAAGTGACGGGAGGTTGGAGAAGACTGCATAATGAGGAGCTTCATTTGTACCCTTCGCCAAGTATAATTAAAATGGTTATATCATGAAGGATGAGATGGGCAGGACATGTAGCAACTGGTGATAAGAGGAATGTTTGTAGGATACTGATGGGAAAGACTGAAGGAAAGAGACCACTTGGAAGATCAAGGAGAAGATGGGTGGAACTGGATCTTGGAAATGATAGGGTGTATGGACTGGATTTTTGGGGCCAGGATAGAGACCAGTGGAGGGCTTTTGTGACTACTATAATGAATATTCGGATTCCATAAATTGCTGGGGAGTTCTTGAATAGCTGAACAACGGGATTCTTCTCAAGAAGGGCTCAGCTTCATTAAGTTACAATTATTGAAACCGCGACTTCAGTAACACATTTTTATAAGTTTCTTACAGCGACTTCTAATAAATGTGATTCAGGAGAGTGAAACGAGATATGTCTTATAATATCGTAATAATGGACTATCGATTATCGATATTCTACCTCGAAATGTTGGCTGGAAGAGAGAATGCATCTGCCTTCAGAAAACGTTGCAGCAAAGCAGGCGGAATCAAATACGTCGCACCGGGACCATCTTGCCTCTATTTTCATGGCTGCAGCAACAGACGAAGAAACTGAGTCAGCGTAACTCTCCGTTATGCATTGCGCAAGTCACACTGAACCATGAAGCGGGTAATCTCAACACACGACTCGCACCTGCTCTGCGTCTCATTGCCCTGGGCTTTCCCACCTAACTGGCTTCTCTGTGTAAATAATGTAAACAGCTAAAGCTATCCCTGTAACAGGCCGTGGAGGCCCATAGGGTTGTGAGACGTCGAGGCTCCCACATTTGCTAGACAACCGATTCACGGATGGGGGTGAGGTTGTCAGAATTAACGCGCCGGCCGCAATTTACCCCCCAGGAAGAATCCTGGTACTCATTTCTGTTAGAGGCTGAGTCGATCCCAGGGACATAGTGCTGCTGGAAGAATTAGTCCAACTGAAAAATCCAATGACCTCATCAGGGATCGAACTCATAACCTTCCGGCTTGTAAGCATAATGCCTCAACCAACTTCACTACAAAATACCACGTCTAAGTGAATAAAAATATGTATTAATCCAGTCAGTATAGCGACGGACTACGTCCTGTATGATCGAGGTTCGATTCCTGCCAGGGGCAAGAGATTTTTCTGTTTTCCGCAGAGTCCAGACCGGCTTTGGGGCCCACCCAGCCTCCTCTCCAATAGGTGTCGTGGCAGAGGTGTGAAGATGACCACTTTCCTCCATCTAACACCAGGGGCAAATAAGGAGCTTCATAACTTGTAGGCTCCTTCAAGTATAATTAGAATGATCAAGTTTAAAAGGATGAGGTGGGCAGGGCATGTAGCACGAATTGTGGAGAGGTGAAATGCATATAGGATATTGGTAGGAAAGCCGGAAAGAAGGAGACCACTGGGAAGATCAAGGCCTAGGTGGGTGGACAATACTAAAATTGATCTCACAGAGATAGGATGAGATTGGATTAATTGGATTGATCTGGCTCAGGATAGGGACAACTGGATGGCTCTTGTGAACAGGGTAATGAACTTCGGGTTCCATAAGTTACTGGGAAGTTCTTGAGTATACACACAATTGGCAGCTTGTTAGGAAGGGCTGAGCTCCATCAGTGAGTGACCGCTAAGGTCAAGAATTGTGGAGCTATGCCTCCACCGTCCATACATCGTCATGATGTGATGATAAGTTACTCGAGCACAGAGACCTCAGAATTACTGAGTAGCTCCTAGGCACAATCTATACTGAAAGAGACACATCAAGTCACTGTACCCCTAGCCTTCAGCAAATATTGTTCTAACGCCAAGAGTACGTTCTACTAACGCAGCATTTCTAAGTCTCTGCGTTATGATAATGAGGAAGTGATTTATGACTTGTGGTCTGGAGATGATAGTTTCGAATAATGACCGGAACTTTATGTGTTCTGACAGATGTTTCGTGGTTTCCCTCAGTCCAGCAAAATAAATATTAGAATAGCGTCTGAAATTAAGCCACGACCCCTTCCTTCTACATTTTTTCCCATCATTATTCATTAATCCTGTCACTCGGTGCTATATGATGCGCTCTGCAGACACAAATCACCAGAACATATCATCCAAAAGTGGAACCACATCCGTTACGTGCTCAACAACTGAAGTCACTTTCAAAGCATGTACTGGCAGCTCCGCTTTCCATAGTTGCAGTAGGTTACAATAATCTCTTTGAAATAGGTGTTTCTCGTGAAAATGACGACAGATGACAACAGAGGGGCTCCTGTTGGCAGATCCACATACGTACATAATCAATACTACCACAAGCCAGCACGTGCTTGGATTTTCCGGCGCACTGTGTTGCCATAATCCAGTGCAGCATCATAATGGTTTTATTGAAAAAACAGATTTGAGAGTAACCTTAACAAGCCAAAAGATTCCACTGACCACTTCTCCAAATTTATTAGGAGATTTTTCCGTGAAATACATTACATATTTCCCCTACTTGTAAGGCTGTTTGTGTGGCTATGATTGTATAGATTAAATTAATGTAACGAGAATGTAAGCTGTATATGTATCTATTTATCCATGGTTCTACAGACCTTACAGACCTTGGCCGCTTTTTTAATTTCTTAAACCATAAGCAGTAGGTAGTACTCCTTGGAGAGGGGATCAGCTCGTCTCAAGGCAGCTACCCACACACACACAACACAAACAGAATAAACGAAAACAGACATCCATGCCTTAAGCTGGGGCGAAATGAGGGCACAAAATGCGTCCGTTTTAATGAACGTCGTGACGTCTGTTGTAGAAATAAACAAGAGAGGCGAATGCTACGCTTTCTTCTGGCTCCATTGCAGACAAAAGACTACGCACCGCATTCTGCAGCTGTGTGGTGTCCTCAGCAACGTTCGTTATAAAGTACGTTCGTTGCAACGAGGTAAGCCTGACTTGCCCACTTCCAACTTCAATACCAGGGACCCATCAGAAATAGGTATCCTTTCAGACTGACTTCATGGAGCTGAGCCCTTCTTGAGGAGACGTCGGTCACGTAACTCTCAAGAAGTTCTTAATTTTTATGGAACCCGAAGGTCCATTACCGTGTTCAAAAAAACCATTCACTGGTCTCTATATTGAGCCAGATCACTCCAGGCGAAACCACTCCATCCTATATTTCTAAGATCCATTTTAATATTATCGGCTTTACCAACAATATCCTATATGTATTCCTCTTTTTCTCCGTATATACATATTTCATCCTCCTTGACTTGATCATTCTAATTACACTTGGAGAAGAGTACAAGTTATGAAGTTCCTCATTATGCAGTTTTCTCCAACTTCCCGTCACTTCATCTCTCTTCGGTCCAAATATTCTCCTCAGCACCCTGTTCTCAAACACTCTCAGTCTATGTTCCTACCTTCTTTCAGAGATCAAGTTTCACCCTGAGGATGGAAACAAAACCTATTCCTAAGTCATCTTAATATTAATTACTGAATCCAGTTTTCATCCTAAAAATTAAATTTATAAAATCTATATTAGCAGCCTTGAATTTCGTGTAACGCCACCGTTAAACTATATTAGGTTGCCAAATTGAGTCTTCTAAGAAAGAATGATGTTCATTGCCTATTCTAAAAAGTTTAGCGAGTTAAGTAAACAGGAGTGAAGCACTGATGCATGTCATGAATGAAAGAGTTTTAGTGTTCTGCTGTAAGAGCACCATAAGCAGGAAAGTTATTCGAGGAATATTTAGAAAAGTCATTTAACCAAACTTCCATTCTATTACATGCGGTGTCTACGTGCTACTAATATTTTCATCTGAGAATATTATTTGGGAAGACGAGCTTCTTTTCAAAACATCAGTTAAAAAACTTCTTTAAAATTAAATCATTTCTTACAATAAAAGTCCTTAAGTTTTGGCAGTGAGTAAGCTTTCGGATTTTGGTTTTCTGGGTTATGACTATCCATGTAGTCATGCAAGTGGATACCTCCTTCGTCAACACTGAAACTGGAAGCAGTTTTTTCTTCCGAAACTTTAGTATTCACCTCCGAGACTGTACAAGGCCGTAACCCACAAAGCCAGCCTTAAATCAGATTAATGTTTCACAAAATTATTATTTCATTCTTCGCTAAGCCTTCAATTAGTGACTACGCACTGCGAGATGGCGCATTTGATAACTTGTACAATAAACTTAAAATAGTTTTACTTCGAAATAAGGTCCCGAAAGCTTCAGTGTACTCTCCTGTTAATTTTCTACGTTTCCTTATCTTCGGTAGTTTCAACACCCATGACCTTTGGTAATTAACTCTCTCCCAAGACCATCTGCTGTAGACTCCTCCTTTGCAACTGTATGCATACTTGTGGATCACACTGTAAATCCAAAAAATTTTCAGCCGGCGTTCTGAACCCTTAGCCCATTTAAATACATCCCTAAATAATATTAAGAGAGTGTATCTTTCATATAATAGTAATTCTTTTGTATTTTTTATAAAATTAATTCCGGAGTCAAGTCTGGGGGATGGGGGGGGGGGGTCTGTTTAATTCAAATCTGTCACTTACCTCGGTCAAATTTTGCACATCATCAGAATCCACGACATCGTCTGACCCCAGGTCATCGCCGGCACCCCCACCATCATCATCAATCAAGACAAACGCTACGTCATTGTTGTTCGTGTTATTCCCGTGATGCATCTGTTTCCTGGGCGACAAAGCATCTCCATCCGTGTCCTCGTGATTGAGTGGTGATGTTTTCCTTTTGTGATTGTTGTTGTTGCCATTGTTAACAATTACATCGTTGCCACCAATGATGTCTCCCACGGGGATCTGATCACATGACGTCTGAGAATCGGTGGGACTCTCTGGGCAATGTTCACCATCCATGTTACAACTGTTTCTGCTAGCAAATAGATCTATCTACACGATTCTTGTATCTGCCAGCATTATGGACACTCATGAGTTTGGTCACACGTGCATCATATTTTTGCGGTATTTTCAATAAATTTGACACAAATGTTTTCCAAAATTCTGTATCTATCACGAAACTACTAAAATATTGTTATTCTTGTATCTTATCTAGAAATCAGCATATTTTGTGCCAAAATAAATACAATTTTTAGACCTTGAAATAATTTCAGTTTTTCCACTAAAGGAATGAAACGAAAAATGAAACAAACGGCACTTTTTGTCTTTACCCTACACCATATTACATTTGTGTTTGAACTGACAGCTTCAGCGTTTCATAAACGGAATAAGCACTGCTTGTAATGGAACTTGTAAACATTTCTTTTAACTTTCTCTCTTTTAGGAAACCATTCACAATTCTGACATTTGTTCAGACAATCCCTAAAAAAAATATATATATATATATAAAATTATAAGATCGTAACAACTGGTTGGATATATTTAAAATCACCTCTCCATTCACAAGCGCTAACCTGTTTTCATTCACTACACAATTCTTACCGCACACTTGCCACTTTATGTATACAAATATCCTGAGTATATACACGTTCTTGTAGCGTGAAACATGTACACACACTGCATAAAGTCCACTTTCGGTTACACTGCACTAAACATAACTTTTCTTAACCATGAGTTCAATCATTTCCCATTAGACACAACACCAAAACCCCTCGAGTTAACTTCACTATGCTTCTGCAACCCTCTTCAACTCAAAGGGGCCCCCGTTTCAACAACATCAGAGCAGCGAAAGCACCGCAGCGCCACAAGTTCTTCCCGTCATGTTCTTCTTCTTCTTACCTCCTTCCATCCACCATAGTCGTGTCTTCATATGCTGGACTGGGCCCATGCCAACGGGAGATGCTAGTGGTCTTCCCAGGACGTTGCAGGTGGCCGCAAGAGTTTTCAAAGATGGCTGAAACTGACTGTCCGTAATACCTTCTAACTCGCTTGGCTTCTATCTCTCTGGCTTACGTTAAGCTGCCCCGCTGAGCACAAGGATAAATTTCCCGTCTCTTTCTTTCTATTTATCATCTCTGTCTCTAAAGCTTTTTCACCATGTTCCTGTAGTTGCCACGTCTTGAACTCGGAGAGAAGACAGGTACAGCAACCTTGAAATTGCGCGCGCTCTCTTCTCTTCTCTGTCTGTTACCACCGTTCCCCATATCGTTTCATCTTTCTCTTTTCCAATGCCTGTCTCTCTTGCTCTCCCTGTATACTCAGGCTGTTATGCTCAGGATTGGTAATAAAAACAGTACGCATTTTAGGATTTAAGTTTCTCAAGGCGATAAGTCTTCTGGCTTGTAACGCCATTTAGATCGTAAGGGACTCAACTTTTCGGAGTCGCATATTGCTTCCATCATCAGAATAGACAATTAAGCCAAGCTAGAAACCATACGAAATAGACCGAAGACTTTGCCTAATATTTCTGATGTTCCTCTGTGATCTATAAAGGCCTTATTAGATAAGAATCAAGCAAGAATTAATTATTTCCGAGTTCTCATTTGTACAAGTCACGCAAAATGAAACTGCAATGCAGTTTTAAGCTTCAACTCGGAAGCACGAAATAATAGAGCCTTTAATAAAATGCGACTATACAAATCTCTTACCTAACTAATCCCCCCCCCCCCGGACTCCTTTAATACTGCGTCTCAAACGTAAGGACGCATTGTAGGTTAACTACCCCACGTGCACACTGAAGTAAATGTTTCGGTAGACACACACAGGGTCATAATGACGTCAACAAATATGTAATATAAATGTTTGTACACAAGTCCAGTTATTAGACGCACATGTGCTTATGCTAATTAATAAATTAATTATGAAGAGGTAGTAAAACGTTGACGTAAATCAATCATTGCACATAATTTCAACGCTACAACGAAGAGAAATGTCAATCATACTAGTCGCGCTGGTCAATGGCATCAAATGCCTTCGCCCCTTCAAAACAATCGTTGGTTCGAATTCCACTCGAGGCATATGTGTCTGCGCTTATTCCGTGTTTATGTTGTCCTGTATCTACGTAAAGGCCTTCTAACGGGCTGATCACTAGTCCAAGTGGTCCTTACCGACTGTCTACAGAGTGCTCCAGAAGGAAGTATCAATATTCTGGGAGGTAACAGTATGGGTAATTCTAAGCAAAAAGGGTATATGTACATATGTCCTCTACCGAACCGTTCCGAAATGCAGTTATTTCACTCTACAGTACACTTACACTGTACAGACGATCAACACGCCATGTCCTCACACGAGTTGCACCGAGATAGAGCTATTTCACTCTACAGTACACTTACACTGTACAGACGATCAACACGCCATGTCCTCACACGAGCTGCACCGAGATAGAGCTATTTCACTGTACAGTACACTGTACACTGTACAGACAGACAGACAGCAACACAACATGTCCTCACACGAATTGCAAAGTGCATTGATGTTGCCGGTGGCATTTTCGAAAATGTATTATACTGGGTAAACTGTACCAACTTTGTCACTTGAACAATAAATACTGGTATTAGAAAGAGTACTTAATATCTCCTTCTTATCAACAGTTCTGGAACTGTACAGTGAAATAGCTTTATCTCGGAAGGGGTTCGGAATAGGACATATGTAAATGTAAAATTTGCATAGAATAACCGATACTACGACCTTCCAGAATATTGATATTTCCTCCGGGGACACTCTGTATAAGATTAATAATTTCACAATTAATTCTCAACGGGAAAATAATCCGTCACGATGGAAGGAGATTGAAGACTTCAATTACTGAATTTGAATTCCGATCTTTTGCCGTCTGCGTGCAACGTCTTTTAATATTTGTTGTTTCTTTTTTGTTTTTATTATTAGTGCCGGACCACCTCTGTGGTCTAGTGGTCAGAGTTCTTGGCTACAGATCCAGAAGTCCCGGGTTCGATTCCCCGGAGCTACCAAATTTTCTGAGAAGTAGTTGGTTTGGAACGGGATCCACTCAGCCTCGTGATGATAAATGAGGAGCTATTTCAAGGAAATAACGGCTCCGGTCTAGAAAGCCGAGATTAACGACCGTGGAGATTCGTTGCGCTGACCACACGCCGCCCTCTATCCGCTAAAGTTGGCACTAACTTCGCTGACAAGTGGCGGTCGCTCGGTCGGCATAGTTCACTTGCGGACTCAAGGCACGGAATTATTATTAGTGATGTACAACGAATGTAAATATGAAGTTGAGTAATGAATTCATTGGTGTACAGTTCGTCTGAGAATTGACCGAAGTAAACCAATCGCATTTTATAAAGACCTTACGTCTAATTGAGGTGAACCACACAACTTCTGTCTTAGCCAAAGCGTTAAACGAACCAGAACACATCTAATATGGTGAAAATATGATTCGGTTATATGTACCATGTGAACTCATAAAATTGTATAGCTTCTCTGCCTACTGACAGTCAGTATTCGACTAGCTATGGACTAGACGGCAGGGGTCGTAGTTCGAGTCCCGGTAGAGGTGAGAATCTTCTCATTTTCACAGCATCCAGACTGGCTGTAGGGTCCACCCTGCCTCCTATCAAATGGGTAACGGGAAATATTTCCCTGGCAGTAAAGAGGCCGGAGCGTAAAGCTGGTACCACTCACCTCCAACTAGTACCGAAATCAAGGATATATGGATCTACATATCCAAACCTCTGATCACAGAGGCAGCCCTCTCTAAGGTATAAACTGTCTTCGCTCGCTCGAACGCTGGGATCGTGGGTTCGAATCCCAATCGAAGCATGGTTTTCTGTAATATGTGCGTTTATTCTGTGTTTGTGTTGTCCTGTGTTTGGGTAATGTCCTGATAATAATAATAACTTATCCACTCCCCCATACATCTTCATGGCTTAGTACTCAATTAATTAAAAGAAAACTTTATCTTTCTGTCACCTCAATTTTATGAACGACTCCATGTTACACACACTCTTTAATCTAGTCTGATGGTTACCAAGGTTTTGCAGGGAGAGGCAGCTACCTTCAGGATATGGACAGTATTTTTCTTGGAAACGTGGATGATCGCATTGTCTGTCTGTCTAGAACATACTGTTGGGTAAGACGGGACAATTTACAACAGGGGAACATTGCAACAGTGCTGACGCCCAAAATGCTTTCTTCGGTAGAGATCTGTCTCCTTGAATATAACGGCATGTGACTCGGCAACGGACTACACAGTACTAAATATACATGATATAGCTCTTCAGAACCACAGCACTGAGAAGATTAAATGCTACATACTTATTTTTGTTTGGCATAATTATACTTAGGTTAAAATTAATTGTTATTTCAAGACTACCTATTTGTAAGGAGTTCCATAAAACTGAATAGAACTGGTATTCATTGTATAACATAATAACATAACTGCTATTACTTTTTATATGTTTAACATTATTCTATCTATCTATGGCTCTAGAGTTCTTTGTTGGACCACGGTCGTTTAAACAGTTACTTTACCTAATCCTTCCAGCCGCACTATGGCCCTGAGGTCGACTCAGCCTCTAACAGAAATGAGTACCACGAATCTTCATGTGGGTAAAGGGTGACCGGCGCGTAGGGCTGACAACCTCAACGACGTTTGTGAGCCGATTACTAGAGAAATATGGGAGCCTCGACGTCCCACAAACACATGAGCCTTCACAACTTCTTACACAGATAGATTTACCTTTTTTTACTAAGTAAACAAGAGTGCCGGTCACAGTAGCCGAGCGGTCTAAGGCGTGCACTGTCTTCGCTTGCTCGTGGGTTCGAATCTCACTCAGGGCATGGATGTTTGTGTGTGTCTTTCTGTGTTTGTGTACAGGTAGAGGCCTTGCGACGAGCTGATCACCCGCCCAAGGAGTCCCACCGAATGTCTAAGATCTATAAAAACCGAAGTGAATGGAGAAGTTCATGGAGGTACG